GTGAGTGAGTGAGTGAGTGAGTGTGTGTGTGTGTGTGTGTTTGTGTGTGTGTGTGAATCAGCGTCCGCTGCTGGTTGTGCTGCTTCCTGAGCTTGAACCGCTGGAGCCGCGATCCTCGTACACACTGATCTCAATCTAACACACACACACAGGTTAAGGGAGTAATATCACAGTATTACACAACCTTACATGCACAAACTACTAAACAAATCACTTTACACATACATGCTTTTACTAGACGACTTGCAATGAATATGATTGAAACTGGTGTCCAGTTTCATTTTATCATTATTGATAAACTATTACAGTTTTTGTTAATATTTTGAAGGCATTTTACTTATACATTTTATGTTTTAATTTTAGTTTAATTTTTTTATAATTTTGTTGTTTTTTTGTTTTGTTATTATTATTGTTGTATTTCTATATAATTTTTATAAAATTTATTGTATTTTATATTTAATTTTAGTTTATTTTATTTCAAGGGTTTTATGATTTTAGTTAGTTATAATAACCAATGGTCCAATTACTGTTAAAGCAATAAAGGCAGAAATCTGACAAATTATTTATAGTGAGAGCTTATTAGATATTTTATATTAACTACTTTCTTCCATTAAATGAACATAACATGAAAAATAGCAATATCTGTTCAATTGATATTCAATTGTGAAAAATAAAATACATTATAAAAAGAAATAATATAAAATATAAGATCATATAATAATTATGAAGTTAGAAATATTATATAATGTATAAATAAATTAATATAAAAATATATAAATATTACTTATGAACCTAATTTAATTACGAAAAACAATATTTAGCTTATTTGAGATTTAACATTATCTTTTGAATTTAATGCACTGTAAATATATATAGGAATAAAAATACATCTTAAATATTCATATCTTTATTAATAAATTTAATTATGAAAAACTATATTTATCTTATTTGATATTCAACAAAATCTGTTGAAGTGATAGCAATTTACTGTTAAAAAACTGAATTAATATAAAAGCCAAAAACAATATTTGGCTATTTCCCACATTTTATTCACAATCTTGTCTTCAGGGTTGCAATAATTGCAAACCTCACACAAAATGAAGAGATAATAAAATAATTTATGCGACATCCTAAGCTGGACTAACAACAGTTTCTGAAGTACAAGCAGCTTCCACTGACCATTTGTTCTCTCACACACACACACACACACAGACAGACACACACACACACACACACACAGACAGACAGACTCTTTAACACACACACAGACAGACACACACACACACACACACACAGACAGACACACACACACACACACACACAGACAGACAGACTCTT